CCACCCCCGGTACCCCCCAGCCCCCGGGGTGACCCACGGCTGGGTAGAGCTGCAGCACCAGGAGCCCCCCCCGGCCGCGGGGCCCGGCCGCGCTGGTGTGCAGCAGCCTGGCCACGTTCTCGTGCTCCATCAGCGGCAGCGAGTGCACGGCGCGCTCGGCCGCGAACCTCCGGCCGGCCCCGGCCGCGAACGCCTTGATGGCCACGGGCCGCTGGCGCAGCGTGCCCCGCCACACGGCCGAGAAGCGCCCCGACTGCAGCACCTGCCCCGCGGGGACACGGCGGGGGACAGGGGACACAGCGTGTCACACAGGGACCCGCATATCCGGGCACCTCTGGAGCTCCCCGGGCACCCCCAGCGATGTGTGCCCCCCCCCCGGACTGATGCCCCCCTGGCATGGGTGTCCCCACATCCCCTCCCCGTTTGGGTGCCCCCTCCCAGCGTCACCTCCTTCCCTGCCCTCCCACCTGGGTGCCCCGTGGGTGTCGGCCCGCTGGTGTCCCTTGCCCCGTTGGGGTCTCCCCATGGATGTCCCTCCCCCCGGGGGTGTCCCTCCCCCCGTGGGTGTCCCTCCCCCCGGGGGTGTCTCTTGCCCCGTGGGTGTCCCCCCGTGGGTGTCCCCCCGTGGGTGTCCCTCTCTCGTGGGTGCCCCGCACCTGCAGGAAGTGCAGCGCAGGCAGGTCCGGGCTGGGGGGCTCCAGGGGAACCCCGATTCTCCGCCCCCCCCGCGGTGGCTGCCCCGTGCGGGCCCTTGTCCAGCGCAGTCCTGGATGGGGACACCAGGGACACCCCCATCCGGGGACCCCCCACACGGGAACCCCCCCAAATCAGGGACATGGAACCTGGGGGCACCAGGGACCGACAGCCCCCCCCTCGCCAGGCAGGGGACACGGGGAATGTGGCATCCTGGGATCCCCAGGACACTGGGGACACCCCACCCGGGACACCCCGCCCCGGGGAGTCACAAGGACACCAGGGACCCCCCGCCCCAGGGACAGGGTGACACAACACTTGGGGACCCCCTCGCCTCCACCCCGGGGAACCCTGGCTCTGGGAACACCAGAGATGTGGCATTTGGGGACACCCAGGGGACAGCGGGTAGGGGGTGGCTGTGCCCGGCGGTCCCCCCGTCCCCGCCGTGTCCCTGTCCCTACCGAGGACGCCCAGACAGGTGAGGAGGATGAGGAAGAGGGGGCTGGCACCCAGCAGCCACAGGGTCCCCGCGGACGCCCCCCGGCCGGGCACTGGGGACAGAGACTGAGGTGACACGGAGCCCCCCCGACCCCCGGTGTGGTGGGGACACTTTAGGGGATCCTATGGCTTCCCCAGTCCCCCGGGCCCCGTACCTGGGCCCTGGCGGGGCCCCCCGAGCCCCCCGGCCGTGCCGGTCCCCGCCGCTGTCCCGGTGGCGTTGCCGTTGCAGAGGTGGCCGTGGCACAGGCACAGCAGCACGGAGCTGCCGGGGTGTCCCGCGGGGCTGGGCGCGCACGTGGCCGAGGGACAGGCGTCCCCGCGGCCTCCCCAGCAGCCTGGGGACACGGCACGGTCACCCCGGGAGGGGACAGGAGGGACCCCCTGCGCGGCTCCCCCCGCAGCGGCTCCTCCCCAGCGCCGCTGCAGCCGCTGCTCAAGGCCAAGGCCACGGCAGCCGCTGGGGAGGGACAGAACCCCCCAGTCCCCCCGGCCGGGACCAGAACCCCCCAATTCCCCTGGCCGGGACCAGAACCCCCCCAATCCCCCCGGCGGGGACCAGACCCCTTTTGCCTCCCCAAGACCACCCAGAGCAGGACCAAAGCCCTCAGTCCTGCCCCAGCTCCTTCAGTCCCTCCAAATTCCCCCCGGGGCAGGACCAACCTCTCCATCCTACCCCAAAATCCCCCCGGGGCAGGACCAACACTTTCATCTCCCCCCAAAATCCCCCCGGGGCAGGACCAACACTTTAATCTCGCCCCAAATTCCCCCCGGGGCAGACCAATCCCCTCCAGCGCCGCCCGGGGCAGGCTCGAAGCGCAGCCCCCTTTGCCCCGGCCCGCTGCCGGGGGTCTCACCCTGCACCAGAGCGTGGCTGCGGTTCCAGATGCCGACGCAGCACTGCCCGGGGGGGCAGCGAACGGCGCCGGCCGCCGCCCCCCCCGCGCCCCCCAGCGCGCCCCGCACGCTCGGGTGCTTGTAGGACACGCAGGTCAGGTTGAGGGGACCTATGGGGACACGCTCGCACCAGGGGGGGCTTTGAAACCCCCCAGAAATGCACCCCCAGCCCCGGCTGTGCCCCCCCCAGCACCCACCTGGGCGCCCCATGGGAGCCTCCGCGGGGCCGCTGGGGAGAGGAGCCGAGCAGGAGCGGCGGCAGCAGGAGGAGGAGGAGGAGGAGGAAGAAAAGGACAAGGAGGAGGAGGAGGAAGGTGCTGCCCCCGCATCAGGGAGGAGAGAGCCGGGGTGTCTGGGGGGGCAGCCAGGCTTGGCTCCTGCCCTGCGTCACCCAAACACAGCTCAGTGTCCCCTGTCCCCACTGGTGACACTCTGGGGCTGACTGCACCCCCAAAACCCGCCTGTGACCCCCCCCAAACAGAGCTCAGTGTCCCCTCTCCTCATTGCTGTCACTCTGGGGCTGACTGCACCCCCCAAAACCGGCCTGTGACCCCCCCAAACACAGCTCAGTGTCCCCTGTCCCCACTGGTGACACTCTGGGGCTGACTGCACCCCCAAAACCCGCCTGTGACCCCCCCCAAACAGAGCTCAGTGTCCCCTCTCCTCATTGTTGTCACTCTGGGACAGACTGCACCCCTGCCACCCCCCAAAAACCGGCCGTGCCCCCCAAGGGACCCCCCCGCAGACTTCCAGACAACGCCAGCGACTCGTGTTTATTACAAAAAGAACTCGTCATTCCCCATTTACAAAGGAGCCCCCCAAAACTAACAGTTTCATCTAAGTCTTTTTGTACAAAAAAATAGCACTTTGGGACCCAAAAAAAAAAAAAAAAAAAAAAATCATCCACCACCCCCTCCCCCCCAAAAATCGCTTTTGGGGGGGGAGGTTTATGACATCAGCCACCGGATTTGTAAAAACCAACCCCCCTCCCCTCCCCCAAATTAAAACAACAGAGACGGGACGAGATCAAACAGGGAGAGAATTATTGCCAGTTTGGGGGGGCTGGACCCCCCAGGACCCCCCCGCTGCATAGAGAACCAGCCCCGGCCCCCCGGAATGAAGGGGTGACAGTGGATTAAAGCTGGGAGAGGGGGGCAGCCCCCAGAGCCCCCCCAGACCCTCTGTGGGGGCAGGAGCGGAGCAGGGGGGGCTCATCCCCAGCCTGTCACCCCCTTGTCAAGGCACGTTTGTGTTTTGTGTCCCGGGAACGGCTGGGGGGGCTTTGGGGGCTGCTGGGGGGGCTCGGGGTGGGTGGGGGGTGCCAGGAGCAGGGTGGGGACCCCCGGTGCCAACAGAGCCGAAATGGGGGCGGTGGGATCCAGCTGCTCCCCCTCCCCCGGCACTGGGAGCAGCGCTGGTGGTATGGACCCCCCCAAAAAAAACCGCAGGGGAGCAGCCCAGGCTCTGAGCAGAGCCCCCCCGGGGGTCCCTGGGGTCCCCCTCCCTCGCGGCTGCGTTTCCATAGGAAAGCCAAGCTCCTTCGGGGACAGTCCATGGGGAAGGGACAGCGGGGACATCCCCGGCAGGGGACACGCCGGCGACATCCCCACCGCGGATCCGGGATGGGGTTTGGCACTTGATCCCCTCTGGGGACAGAGCTGGGCTCGGGGGGGCTTCGGGGTGGGGGTAAAATCACCAAATTGACCATTAAATTAAGAAACTTCCTGTTTTTTGTCCCAATCCTTCGTGGATTTTGGGCTGGGGGGGTTGGGGGCAGCTCATAGTGCTTCACAGGGTTATTAAAATACAAATGCTTAAAGTTTCCTATATAAAAATATACAAATGCAAAAATAGATATCGAGAGAGAGAGCCGGGGGGGGCTGGGGGGGCCGGGCCCTGCGCCCCCTCCCCGGGGAGCTTCTGCTGCCTTTCCTTTTTTTTTTTTTTGCGTGTATTTTACAAAAAAAAACAAAACAAAAAAAAAAAACCAAACCCCAAAAAAACCAAAAAACCACCAAATCAAACCAAGATTCCCGCTTCCTGCCGGCTGCCGGAGCTCGGGATGGGGACGGGGCAGCGGGGGCAGCTCCAGTCCCGGGGCTGTCCCGAGGGACCCCGGCTCCGCCCCGGGCTCTCGGCTCTGCCGGAGCTTCTCCCGGGACAGCGGGGAGCGGGACCAGGAACGGGGCTGGCCCGGGTGGGGAGCACTGGGGCGGTGCGGGGGGGCCACGCTCCGAGCCCGGGAGGGGACACGGCCCGATGTCCCGTGGGAACGGCCCGGGACAGGGGGGTACGGTCCGGGACAGGGGGGAACAGCCCGGGACAGGGGGGAACGGCCCGGGACAGAGGGGAATGGCCCGGGACAGGGGGGAATACCCCAGCCCGGGACAGGGGGGAACGGCCCGGGACAGAGGGGAATGGCCCGGGACAGAGGGGAATGGCCTGGGACAGGGGGGAATAGCCCAGCCCGGGTCAGGGGGGAATGGCCCGGGACAGGGGGGAATACCCCAGCCCGGGACAGGGGGGAACGGCCCGGGACAGGGGGGAATGGCCCGGGACAGAGGGGAACGGCCCGGGACAGAGGGGAATAGCCCAGCCCGGGTCAGGGGGGAATGGCCCGGGACAGGGGGGAACGGCCCAGGACAGGGGGGAATAGCCCAGCCCGGGACAGGGGGGAATAGCCCGGGACAGGGGGGGTATAGCCCAGCCCGGGACAGAGGGGAATGGCCCGGGACAGGTGGGATTCATGGATCAGCTGTGATCCGGGGGGGTCCCCTCTGCACCCCCCAGAGAGAAGGGGTCACGCCCCGAGCCCGGAATGGGAGCAGGGCAGTTGTGGGTCAGGGCAGTTGTGGGTCAGGGCAGTTGTGGGTCAGCTCCAGAGCCGGGGTACTGCAGGGCCCCGCTGGGCTCACCCCAAAGCTGCTGCTGGGGAACAATCCCAGGTTTCCTACTGGGGATCCACTCCCTGCACCCCCAGCCCCGTCTGGAGCCAGGCACGGCGGGATGTGGCTGGGGCAGGAAGAGGAGGGTGTGGGAGGAAGAACGGAAGGGACCGAGCCCTCCCACGGCGGGAAGAGCAGGATCCTGGAAAACCTTTTTTGGGTTTTTTTTTTTCCCCAAGCTGCCCTATTCCCAGCACCCTTATTTTTGCCAGGAGCCACCTCCAGCAGTGCCACAACTAAACCCTCGAGTGTCCCTCGTGTCCCTGCGGTGCTGTCCCCTCGCTCCAGACCGGCTGAGCTCCGCAGATTCTCCTTTTTCCCCATTATTACTATTATTATTAATTCCAACGCTGGCTGCAATTAAAAAAATCATCTTTTCCCCCCCGAGGAGGCTCCAGTTGTCCCCCCAGGGCTGCATTCCCAGCCCCTCTGTCCACGACCTTCCCATGGAGCAACTCCACTCCCACGGGACAGGGAGCCTTGCCAAGAAAACGGCTGGAAAAAACCAAGATCCAAGAAAAAAAAATAAAAACAACACCTGCCAAGGCAGGGGAGGGCAGTGGGAGTCCAAGGGTGAAAAATCCAGCGGGATCTCCCCCCAGAATGCCAAAGGAATTACAGAGTCACCTCAAAGCAAAGCGCCGACAGCCCGGGGAGGGTTTAGGGATTCTGGTGGGAAATGGGATCGGGGAGGGAGGGAGGGAGGGAGAGCTCGGGCATCGTCCGGCGCGCCCCAGAGGGGCCGACCTGCTCCAGGATAAGGCATCAAAGGGACCACGCCATGGTCACAGCAACATCTCTCCTCTCTCAAACGAACACATTTTATATTTTTATATATATAATAATAATATAGATCGACTTGAGACTTTTGTTTTTTTGTGTTTTTGTTTTTTGTTTTGCGTTGTTTTGTCGGTATTTCATGTCGTTGGGTGTTTTTTTTGTTGTTTTTTTTTTTGCTAAAAGGACCAAGGCATGACGACGCCAAAGGACCTCGGGTGGGGAGGCAGGAGGAGGGGTGGGGAGGGAAAAGGGACAAAAAAGGTAGGGGAAAAAAAAAAAAAAATCAAGCCGAAATTAAAAAATATATATATATAGCTCTGGCCTTCGGTGGTGCGGGCGCGTGCCGGCGGCGCTGGCGGCTCCGCGGCCGCGCTCAGAAGCCGTTGCCGCTGATGTTGATGGACTGCAGGTCGGCCACCTGCATGACGTTGATGCCGCTGCTGGCCAGGCGGGCGATGCCCTCGGGGCAGATGGCCTCCATGGCCACCATGTTGGTGGCGATGAGCGCCGAGGGCGCGGCGCCGCCGTTGCCCTCGGCCGAGGCCGCCGTGTCCATGGGGACGGCCGAGACGTTCATGGCCACGCTGCCGGCGCCTCCCTTCTTGTTCTGGTGGGTCTTGATGTGCTTGGAGAGGTGGTCGCTGCGCATGAAGCGTTTGGGGCACTCCGGGCAGGCGAACTTCTTCTCTCCTGGGGGAGGGAGAGAGGCGTGAGGGAGGGGGAGAAGGCTGGGATTTGGGAAGGGGCTCCTGCCCGTGAGAGGGGCCAGGGCCAGCAGCGAAGGCCTGAAGGCTCCAGGACACTGGAATTTTGGGAAAAGGTTCCTCCCCTTGAGCATGCTCAGGCTCTGGAGCAGCTCTCAGCCCAGGAGCTCAAAGCCAATGCTCCAGGACGTTGGAATTTTGGGAAAAGGTTCCTCCCCATGAGCATGCTCAGGCTCTGGAGGGGCTCTCAGCCCATCAGCTCAAAGCCAATGCTCCAGGATGTTGGAATTTTGGGAAAAGGCTAGTACCTTGGGAAAAGCTTTCTCCCCATGAGAATGCTCAGGCTCTGGAGGAGCTCTCAGCCCATGAGCTCAAGGCCAATGCTCCAGGACGTTGGAATTTTGGGAAAAGGTTCCTCCCCATGAGCATGCTCAGGCTCTGGAGGGGCTCTCACCCCAAGAACCCAAAGCCCACCCTGCAGGACGCTGGGATTTCAGCTCGGGGAGCCCCAGGAGTCAGAGCAGCCCCCGCAGCAGCGCAGCCCCACCTGTGTGCGTGCGCTTGTGCCGCTGCAGCTCGTCGGAGCGGGTGAAGCGCTTCCCGCACAGCACCCAGGTGCAGATGAAGGGCCTCTCCCCCGTGTGCCACCGCAGGTGCGCCCGCAGGTGCGAGGTCTTCCCGTACACCTTCCCGCAGCCCGGCACGTGGCAGATGTGCTGCTTTTTTTTCCCTGGATCCCCAGAGCTCCTGCAAGAAGGGAAGGGTTAAACACGAGGGAATTTCAGGCGATACAGCCTTGGGGGGAATCTGCTGGATTAGGGCCTGTGGGGTTGATGGGTGTGGGGTGAGG